AGATATATATAGATATAGATATACTGGTATATGTGTAGATAGATACATGGGAGGGAGAGAGAGAGAGAGAGGTAAGTGTGTATATGCATATAGTGATGTGTAGAGGTAGAGAAGATCTAGATCTGTATCTGTGTAGCTATCTGCCACATAAAACTCTCTTTCTTCATAGATATATGATAGTCTAGTGGTAAGGAATGTGTTGCCAACTCAAAGACTTTAAGTTCTAATCCAGCAGCTGCTCCGTGGAAGAAAGTGGACAATCTTCTTCTGTGAGTTTTACAGCCTCAGAAAACTGACTTACAGGTCAGCTAATAGTTGGTTTCAGTTTGAAGGTACGTAACAACAGCAACAACATATATATTGTTTGTTGTTTTTGTTGTGTGCTGTCAATTCAGAACTGACCCTTTTGAATGGGTTTTCAGAGGCAGTAAATCACACAGGAGGAGACTGCCTGTCCTACCATGGAGCAATTGATAGATTCAAACCATATGCCTTTTGGATTGCAGTGCAGCATTTTGCCCCACTTGTCATTGTAAGGTGCCATCGAGTAGAGTATGACTTACAGTGATCCTATGAATAATGGATTGAACCCCATCCTTTTCTGTGCCATCATCACACTTCCTGACAAAGTAGAGCCCATTGCAGCAGTCATGAGGTCAATCCACGTGGTTGAGGTCTTCTCTCCTTTGCAAACCCTCCACCCTTCCAAGCATCATTTCCCTCTCCAAGGAATAGTCCCTCCTAGCAACATGCCTGAAGTATGTGAGGCAATGCCTCATCATCCTTGCCTCCAAAGAGCACTCTGGCTGCACCCTCTCCAAGACATACCTGTTCCTTCTCTCGGCCGCCCATGGGATGTTCAGTGCTCTTCTCAAACATCAGAGCTCAAAGGCATCAATTCTTACTCTTTCATCCTTCCTTATTCATTGTCCAGGTCTCAGATGCAAAGCAAGTAACTGGAAACACCATGCCCTATCTGGACTTTTCCTAACTGCCCCCCCCCCACATTCTTCTTGTTGTTATGTGCCTTCGAGTCACCTGTGATTCATAGTGACCCTGTGCACAACAGCTCTAAAGCCTGCCCTGTTCTGAGCCAGTCTCAACTGACTCCAACACACCTATCCCCACTGTCCCAGTTACTGTATCAATCGGTCTTCCTCTCCTGCTTTGTCCCTCAACCCTTCTGAGCATGCTGTCCTTCTCCAAAGACTGGTCACTCATAGCCACATGCCCAATGTATGTGAGATGGAGCTTCAAAATCCTCACCTCCAAGGAGAAACTTGGTTTTACCCTTTCCAAGAAAGACTTATTTGTTTTCTTGACAGTCCATGGTATGTTCAAGACTCTTCTCCAACACTACAACTCAAAGGCATCAATTCTTCTTCTATCATCCTTAGTCATTGTTCAACTCTCTGATGCATAGTAAATAATTGTGAAGACCATGGCCTGAATCAGGAGCACCTTAGTCTCTAGACTGACATCGTTGCTTCTCAGTTCTCTGGAGATGTCCTTTAGGGCAGATTTTCCCAATGCAATCATCTTTTGAGTTCCTGACTGCTGGTGTCAACAGTGTTGATTGTGGAACCAAGCAAGCTGTAGTTGTTAACAACCTCAATTTCTTCTCCATCTATCATGATGCTGCCAACTGGCCTGATTGTGAGATCTTTGTCTTCTTGATTTTGAGCTTCAACCCATACTGAAGACTACAGTGCATAGGGGTGTGTGTGTTGTTGTTGTTGTTGTTGTTATTATTGTTGTATACAGTTGAGTTGGAATGGACCCATAGCTGACCCTCCTCTTGGCAGAAATCAAAGAGTACCAGAGGAATGTCTATCTATGTTTCATTGACTATGCAAAAGCATTTGACTTCATGGATCACAACAAATTATGGCTACCATTGAGGAGAATGGGAATCCCAGACATTTGATTGTACTTATGCAAAACCTATCCTTGGACCAGAAAGCTGTCCTCAGAATGGAGCAAGAAAACACTGCATGGTTCAAAATCAGAAAAGGGGTACATCAGGGACATGTCCTATTTCCATAAGTTTTCAATCTATATTCAGAATGGATCATAGGCTGGGCTTTATGAGGAGGAATATGGCATCACGATCAGAGGAAGATTCATCAACAACCTATGTTATGCAGATGACACAACCTTGCTTGCTGAAACTGAGGAGGACCTCAAGGGCTTGCTGCAGAAAGTCAAGGAATGTAGGCTTCAATATGGATTGAAGCTCAACATAAAGAAGACAAAGATTCTCAGCACTGGGCCAGTTGACAGCACTGTGACAGATGGAGGAGAGACTGAGTTTGTTAAGAATTACAGCTTGCTCAGCTCCACAATTAACATTCTTGGCACCAGCAGTCAGGAGATAAAAAGATAAACTGCACTGGGAAAATCTGTTGTCGGAGACCTCTCCAGAGACCTGAGAAGCAACAATGTCAGTCTAGAAACTAAGTTGCTCCCGATCCAGGCCATCATCTTCGTAATTGCCTATTATACATTTGAGAGCTGGACAATGAATAAGGATGATAGATGAAGAATTGATACCTTTGAGTTGTGGTGCTGAAGAAGAGTCTTGAACATACCATGGATCACTAAGAAAATAAGGAAGTCTGTCTTGGAGAGCGTGAAACAAAGTTTCTCATTAGCAGCTAGGATTTTGAAGCTCTGTTTCACATGGTCATGTGGCCAAGAGGGGCCAGTCCTTGGAGGAGGACATCATGCTCGGAAGAGTGGAGGGACAGCACAGGAGAGAAAGAGCCCAGATGAGATGGATTGAAACAGTAACTGGGTGGAATGGGGGTAGATGTATCGGAGTCAGTGAGACTGTTGTGCAAAGGGTCGCCATGAGTTACAGGTGACTCAACAGCACATAACAACAACACACACACACACACACACACACACACACACACACACACATACACATATTTGTTGTTGTTGTTGTTGTGTACTGTTGAGTCAGAACCAGCCTATAGCTCTGAAAACCAGTGGGTTTTCTTAATCACATGGGAGGAGATGGTCATCCTCGTCCTAGGGAGCATCTGGTCTCCTCAAACTGTATGCCTTTGGGATTGCAGTGCAGACTAAGAAACTGTTGCTGAGTGGAGCAAGGGGACACTGTATTATTTAAAATCAGGAAAGGTGTACATCAGGGTTATATCCTTTCTCCATATCTATTCAATCTGTATGCTGAACAAATAATTTGAGAAGCTGGACTTTATGAAGAAGAATGTGGCAACAGGCTCAAAGGAAGACTAATTAACAACCTGCATTATGTGGATGGCATGACCTGGCTTGCGGAAAGTGAAGAGGACTTGAAGCACTTGCTGCAGAGGATCAAAGATTACAGCCTTCAGTATGGATTACATCTCAACATCAAGAAAACAAAGGTCCTTACGACAGGACCAACAGTCAACATGATAGAGAAAGGATTGAAGCTTTTAAGGACTTAATCTTATTTGGATTCACAATAGCTCCATCTCCTATACTTTGGGCATGTGGCTAGGAGAGACCAGTCCTTTGAGAAGGACATCATACTTGGAAGGGTGGAGTGACAGCACAGGAGATGAAGACCCCAGATGGGATGGATTGAAACAGTAAGTGGGGCAATGGTGGTAGGTATGTTGGAGTTAGTAAGACCGGCTCAGAACAGGGAAGGCTTCTCAGTTGTTGTATGTATATTCGCTATGAGTCATAGGTGACTCAATGGCACATAACAACAAATCAACACTCTTCGTATTGACAGTAGAGAAACCAGGAAATGTATTTCATTGGGCAAGTCTGATATAAGAGACCTCTCCAATAGGCTGAAGAGTAATGATGTCTGAAGACTAAGGTGCACCTGGTTCAGGCCATGGTCTTCCCAATCACCTGCTATTCATCAGAGAGCTGGACAATGAATAAGAATGACAGAAGAATTGATGCCTTTCAGCTGTGGTGTTAGAGAAGAGTACTGAATATCCCATGGACTGCTGGAAGAGCAAACAGATATGTCTGAGGAAAAGTGCAGTCCGAATGTGCCTTGGAGGCAAAGATAGAGAGACTTTGTTGCTCATACTATGGACATGTAGCTATGTAAGGCTATTTCTTGGAAAGGACATCATACTTGGAAGATGGAGTCTTAGCGAAGGAGAGAAAGATCCTGAAGGAAATAGATTGATAGAGTGACTGTGGCAATGGGCTCTAGTATGTCAGAGATGAGGAGGGTGGCACAGATTGGGCAGGATTCAGGTTGGCTGTTCATAGAGTTCCTATGAGTCATAGTTGACTTGATGGCACTTAACAACAAAAATGAGGAGGTGGGGAGCATCACTAAATATCTGCTGCTGAACCCTAAAGAACTCACCTCTCAACTGACAGATTAATTACATTGTATTATGGGAGATAATGGTGTTTCATTGCATTAGATTACAATATGAAACAGTGCCTCGTCTAGTGTTTTGGCCAAACTGCTGGGAGCCATAGCTAGCTCAAGTTGCCACAGAAAACTAACCACCACTCCCCTTGTTCCACAGGCATGTCCTTATCAGCATCACCTTTCCTTATGCCATGGTGGCCATGGCTTTGATGGACTCCAAGTACGAAATGCCAGGCCACACCCTCAAAGTCCGATACTGGCCTCAAGAGAACTGGCCCTTGGCATTGCCCTATGTGGAAGTCAGGAGTGACGACAAGCACTTCTGAGGTCTGCCAGCCTCTTGCTCATTCAACCAAGTCAACCCAATGGAGTCTTGGGGGGATAGACCTAGTTCTGGACTTCAGCTCAAGAGATGGCCGTGGTTTCTTACTCCAGTTTTCTCCCATCCTCCTTGTCCTGCATTTCCTGACCCCAAGAAAGGGGATGGACTTCCTGACCTCTTCGGAGCAGCAGTCTGATGACCCTGGGGGCCTGTCATACCTCCCATCCATCATATGACCTCACCCTCTTTTGATTTCCTGTCCCAGGTTCCTAAGGGCCTATGTCATTAGACCTGTGAGGACCTGACATTTTCAGGAAATAATTCCAGGTCAAGGCTTAGTCTCTAGACATCTTACAAACACTGGTGGCCACGACAAGATGCTTTAGATATGTCTCTGATCATGGCAGTATCCATGATAGTTTGGGGCCATGCCTTCAAGTCACCTCATTCTACACTCATACTCGCATGCAAAGACTTGACAGATCTTCCCGTATGCTTGCACACACAGACCCATGGATGTGCAAGAGTCACCATTACAGACTGACAGTTGAGGAAAGACGAAGAAGTTTTCTATGGTGCCGTTAATCTATCCATTCACCCCTTAGTCTGTCCATCCATTATGTTATCCAGCCATCTACCCATCCATCCACTAATCCTTCACTTTATCCATTCATTAATGTTTATTTATCTATTATTAATTCATCCATCTATTCACCAGCCCACCTATCTCTCCATCTTTTAGTTTATCCATCTATTCATTTTCTTCCCATTACCCACCTATTTATCTATGATTAATTAATCCATCTATCCACCATCCGTCCTTCTATAAACATATTGATTCTACTACGGAATCATCATCCCTTCTACCAATCCGTTAATTATTTGCCATCCATCCAGCCATCTGCCCTTTCATCTATTATCCATCATTTTTCATCCATCTATTAATGTATCCATCCATTCACTGAGCTATCCATTGACCATCCATCATCCAGTCATTGATATTTATTTCATCAGTGTTCAGATTTTAACCAAAACATCCAATCATTCCTCTATTAACTTATTTTTCTATTCTTTCATTTATCCCTTCAACAATTCTATGCTGAGTTCCTTTGGTAAATATATGGATATATGGCAGACACTGGCCTCAGGTGATACAAGGTATTAGAAGTTCCCCAACTTATTCAAGGACACAGGTGTTAAACACAAAAGATATGGATTAGATACTTCAAGGAGGCAGATGTTAAATACAGATAGATGTGAACTAGATACAATGAATGCTACTAAATAAAGAAACAAATGACCCAGAATGATGCTCAGATTTAGATTTGAACCAAAGTATTCAGTCTTTCAATTAAATGATTTCCTATTAATCTCTTTAACAAATATATGCTGAAATATCTCTATCTCTATCGCTATCTCTATCTCTATCTCTCTATCTCTATCTCTATAAAATCTCAGACTTCAGGCCGTAGTGACACAAAGCAACAAAAGCATTTCCTTTCTATCTTAATCAAGCAGATAGGTATTAAGAAATACAAACAAAGGGAGCTCTGGTGGCCTAATGGCAAGAAGCTGCGCTGCAATCCTGAAGGTGAACGGTTCGAATCCACCAGATGCTCCACTGGAGAAGGAGGGGCAATCTCCTGTGCCGGTCAGATCTGACTAGACAGTACATAATAAGAGGGGCAGGGGGAAGAAAATGGGAAAGATATGGTATGAAAAACAATGTATATGAACTTCGTATAACCCAGTATATAGGAAACAAAATCCATCTATCTTAAAAAAACAAAACAAACAAACAAAGCACAAATAAAATACATCCAGCCGTCAGCATGTGCTACCAAATAAAGAAATAACCAGGTGATTTTCTAGAGCACAATGGCTTTGCGAAACAGTACCCCAAAGTCAGGGAGGAGAAGAGATTTCTGACGAGCCTCGATAATGAGAAGAAACGAGTCAGGCAATGAGTTGAGGTATCCAAGACCAACGAGACAGGAGGAACTCCAGGTACATCCCCTCCCCAAGACCTTGCCCTGGGTGTGAATGAACTTACAAGTCACTGTGGGCACTTGTAGACAAGGAGGAGAACACAGTAAAATGTTCTTAATCTGGGGACTCTGGACAGGTTTCAATGAACTCATTGACATTGTCTGCAAAGGATGGATATTGTCTGGACATGTTAGTCAGATCCCTGGAGTGCAACATCCCAAAAGGAATCAAAGTATATTCATCTGGCGCCTTCACAAAGTGAGGAATTGAAGAGACGAGAGATTTCTCATGTCTACCCAATTGTGGCCACATGATGCACACTCATGCCACACCTCACCGATGTCTAATGATAGTCGAGATATTCTTCTAGGGTAAATTAATAGATGGATAAATTAAAGGATGAATGAAGAATGGGTCACTAGATGGATGGTCTGATGAGAAGTTCAGTAGATGGTTGACGGATGGGTGAATGGATGATGGATACATGAATGAATGGGTAAATTGATGGTGAATAAATAGAGGGAAACAACATATGATCAAGAGGCAATGATGATGAAGAAGGAAGTTCAAGGTGCTCTGGAGGATTTGGCAAAAAACCAAGGCCCCAGGTCAGGGGTGGAAGAAAGAAATTGTGCAACACTAAAAGAATTTTTTTTTTTCAAAGAGAAAAGCAAACAGGCAGGGGGAGGGTGTGGGAAGGAAAATGTGCAACAATGAATGAATGGAAATTGAAGTTCTCTAGAAACTTTTCTTAAAATCTCAATTAAAATAAAAAATTAAAACAAAACAAAATAAGGCCCCAGGAATTGATGGCATACCAACTGCAATATTCAGATGCTTCCCTGGATGTGCTCACCAGGTTGTGCCAGGAAAACTGGAGGGCAACTACCCGGCCAACTGACTGGAAGAGATCCATATTCTACAAATAGAAGAGACGCATTTAAAAATAAAATAGTGATCCAACAGAGTGTGGAAATTATCAAACAATATCACTAATACTACACACAAGCAAAATCTTGTTGAAGATTATCCCAAAATGACACGAACAGTATCTTGATAGAGAATTGTTTAAAAGTACAAGCTAGGTTTAGAGGAGGCTGTGGTACTAGGGACATCATAGCCAATATCAGATGGATCTTAGCTGAAAGCAAAGAGTACCTCAGGAATGTCTATCTGTGTTTCATTGACTATGCGAAGGCATTTGACTGTGTGGATCACAACAAGTTGTGGCTAACATTGAGAAAAATGGGAATCCCAAAATACCTGATTGTGCTCATGTGAAACCTATACTTGGATGAGGAAGCAGTCGTCAGGACAGAGCAAGGAAACACTGCATGGTTCAAAATCAGGAAAGGAGTGTGTCAGAGATGCATCATGTCTCCATAACTTTTCCATCTATATGCAGAACAGATAATTTGGGAGGCAGCATCAGAATTGGAGGAAGATTCTATGTTATGCAGATAACACACCTTGCTTGCTGAAACTGAGGTGGACCTGAAGTGCTTGCTGTAGAAGGTCAAGGAATGTAGCTCAGCATCAAGAAGACAGATTCTCACCACTGGGCCGGTTGACAGCACCCTAATAGATGGAGAAGAGACTGAGATTGTTAACAATTTCCACTTTCTCAGATCCACAATCCATACTCTTGACACCAGCAGTCAGGATATCAAAAGACGAATTGCACTGGGAAAATCTGTTATCAGGGATTTCTCCAGAGTACTGAGAAGCAACGATTTCAGTCTAGAGACTAAGATGCACCTGATTCAGACCACAGTCTTTACAATTACTTACATCAGAGAGCTAGACAATGACTAAGGATGACAGAAGTTATGATGCTGTAGAAAAGTATTGAATATACCATGGGCTGTCAAGAGAACAAACAGGCTTATTCTGAAGAGAGTGAAACCAGGCTGCTCCTTGGAGGCAAAGATTTTGAAGCTCTGTCTCATATACTTTGGGCATATTGCCATGAAGAACCAGTTCTTGGAGAAGGACATCATGCTCAGAAGGGTGGAGGGCAGCACAGGAGAGGAAGACCCCAGATGAGATGGATTGACTCAGTGACTGGGGTATTAGGGGTAGATGTGTAGGAGACAGTGAGACTGGCTCAGGATAGAGTGGGATTCAGAGCTATTGTGAATAGGATCTCTATGAGTCACAGGTGACTTGATGACAACATAACAACAGCAAGAAGAAGCTAGAAGGTGACTAAATGGAGAAAATAAATGTATAGATAAACTAAAGAACAAGTTGATAGAAGGTCGGGAGCTCTGGTGGTGCTGTAGTTAAGGCATGCATGTACTAACTTCAAGGTCGGCACTTTGAATCGACTTCAAGCTCCACAGCAGGAAAATGGGGCAGCCTGTGCCAGTAAATACTTAGAGTTGAAGAAACCCTAACAGACAGTTCTACTTTACAGACTCACTATGAACAGAAGTTGACTTCATGGCAGTGGGGTTTTTGTTTTTTTTCTATTTGAATAGGGGACAGATAGATGCAAAAAAGCAGTGTACACACAGAATATAGGATGGATGGATGGATGGATGGATGGATGGATGGATGGATGGATGGATGGATGGATGGATAGATGATGGATGAATGGATGATGGAGGATGGATGGATGGATGGATGATGGCAGATGGATGAATGTATAGATAGATAGATGATGGATGAATGGAGCATGGATGGATGGATGGATGGATGGATGGATGGATGGATGGATGGTTGGAAGGATGATGGCAGATGGATGAATGTATAGAGAGAAAGATGATGGATAAATGGAGGATGGATGGATGGATGGATGGATGGATGGATGGATGGATGGGTGGGTGGATGGGTGGAAGGATGATGGCAGATGGATGAATGTATAGAGAGATAGATGATGGATGAATGGAGGATGGATGGATGATGGATGGATGGATTCATTATGTCCATGTGACTCAGAGAGAGCAAACTACTTGCCCAAAGAAACAGCCTAGATTTGAAGACACGTCTGCTCTTCCTCAAAGTTCCTTG